ATTTAAAGGTTCAGCTATGTTTTATCCTTGCCGTGTAGTTTTACAGAGGGATGGGTCCTGAATCAAACGACTATGGAGAGCTTTCGGAGAGAGGGAAGGAGACTCTGAGGTGCTGAGCCATCATCTCATTGATCTGACGTCGAGGATAAAATAATTGGATCCAAATAGGATGTTGTTATTGATTGAAACAAAGTTTATTTTGATTTAACTAAATTTCAACGCTTTCTATTAGTTTTTACCCTGATAATCTCTATATATCCTTTTTTTTTGCTTTTGCTTTTAAAAGAAGTGTGAAGAAGAACAATTTGGTCAAACCCATCGAAGATTCTCACGACCAGGTTTTTGACTATTTTGTTTAGAAGTTTCCACCAAGAACTACTTTCTTTTTTTGCTCATAGAACAATCGAGTTGAAACATTTTGACATTTCTTTTATTAAGATCTCTACGGTTAAAGCTTAGAAAATGCCTCCGATTTGTCTACAAATATGTAAAACTAAATCCTGTTAGAAGAGTTAGAAAACACTTTAAAGGATTATTCAGGGTATTGTGAACATTTTTAAGTTAAACATATCAATCGTAGTTTCTTTTAAACAAAAACAATCTCTCATATGCTGCTGGCCACGCCCCTCGTGTCATACGGAAGTTCTCTTCATCCTCAGTGAGTTAAATATCCATTCAACCGCATTTTTTGAGAGAAGCAATGTAAAAAGAGAGTCTCTAGAGAGTATTTATGATTTGTGGTGATAAACAGTTTACTGTTAATGATCTACCCAACATTTTCAGCGTTGCTGGAAACAGTGGAGATGTTACTTTAGATTTCTTTCATGAATTTTCATGTTAACTGCAGTGTTTTTGAGTCAAGCAGCATTTGTTATGATAACACCACGAAAACGTAGACATTGTTTAAGGGTAGATTTATTTATTTTTTTTATTTCAACCATTCCTTCCCTTGCTGCCAAAAAGTGTTTCCCAAATAAATATCCAGAAATCTTTCCCTGTGGAACTCCAAAAGATACCTTCATGAAACAATCCATACGCTACATGAATAGTTAAATATGATTTAAAAATGAAATAAACAGGAACTGCTATAATATATATGTATTCATTCTAATTATTCAGACAAAATTATATTTTGCAACAACCGAGGAACTGCCAAGTCAATTTTGTGTGTCTCATTTGCTCAAAACATTTTAATTAAATGTCATGTTTTATTTTAAACAAAAGTTTTAAACAATGTCATTAAGTCACTAAACAGTGAAGCCTTTGATTAACGTGCATTACTAGAACATTAGTAAATACGATTCAAAAAGAGTGGTCAACAAATTAAACTGGGGTCAGTGTTAGAACTTTTGTCTGAAGGAAATGACCACCATGTACAAGTTTACACGATGTTTTGACTTTTCACTTAAATTAAGAATCCGTTTGCACTTTGCGATTCTTGTTTAAAGCGACTTTCACATTGTCGACCTCTTTTGCATAATGTAACCAACATCCATCAGTCTCTCAGAGTCGACTAATCACACCTTAAACTTTATTATAATAACTACACGGCAACATGATGGTGACAACCACGCTGTTTCACAAAATATTTTGCTGATAAAAAGACACGGGAAGAAACGGGTTTTTTTTATTCGGAGAAGTTATTAAGATTTTATGCCGTGACCCCGAGGGAACGTGCGGGAAAGAAACACGAAAGAATGAATAATACGTTTTTTAATCACACTCAATAGAAATCCAGATTTATATTACTATTTTGTGCACTACACATGTACTCGATAATTAAATAAACAAACAAAAAAAGCTTCCTGCCCAAAACCTTTTTTCGAAATAACGACTTACAAAGTGGCAACAGAATTGAGAAAAAAATACTTTCTGACTACAATCTTTCAGTTTCTGGACCATTTTGTTGATTTTCCCTAAATCTACTCTTTTGGGTGTTTTCCTTCTTAGTTGTTCATCTGATGTTTTTTTTTTTTTCTTTAATCCATATTTTTTTACCAGTCTTTTGAACAAAGTTCGATTTTTGGCCCATTCCATGAAGTCAGTATAAGTTGTCTCATGCTCTTTTAGATATTTTCACCCTGTGATAATGATTACAGCCTTGCCCCATGTAATAATATTGATAATGTTGGAAAAACCATAACAAAAGCTTTGGTGTCGACAATAACAGATGTGACACAGGGACTTTAAAATATTCCGATTTCACAGATTGGCCCAATTGTGGTGTCTTTCAAAGTACAACATATTCAGTTCTCTCGTCAGTGATTTATTGTATTTTGGTGCAAGTTCTTTTGACACTATGTTGATCTTGTTACTTTCTATACAAATTAGTTTTTCTCCCTCTCGACATCTCATCTTTATTCCTTCATAACACGACGGTTTCAACAGTCATTTGTCAATTAGCATGTATGTTGCGTGGTAATTAATTTGAATTGTTTTACCATAATCGATTTAATTTTCACCAGGTTAACGACCCTCCGGTGTTTACATGTACTGACTTAGTTAAATAACTAATGAAACTAAATGCTGTATAACCTGTCTTTTACTTAATCCGAGATCTCGTGCCGAGTATTCTGTGGTGGGCTGCAGGTGCTCCGGTAAAAGCATGTATTAAGTGCTGCAAACCCACCGTTAAGAAGGTGAAAGGTCCTCCCAAGAGGAACAAGTATCTGGCAGGCCTCTCACAATCTCTTTCTTTCGAGCAAGTTGCATTCATATGTAATTAATGGAGCTCCATGATCGAAATGATGCTAATAGTGTCTGAGCAGCGACGATGCTCTGCGGATGAAAACAATCAGATTTGCGTGATTTCACTGCTCTTCAAGGTGTTCGCTCAGTCCCCATACTGTCAGAATTATAGAATTATCGTCTTTATAGGATTGAGAAATACTCAGAGAAGTTTAAGAGAACGTTAAAATCGCAGCTTGTACTATTAGTTTGTGTTAAACATGCTTAAAATGTTGCATTAATGTTTAAAACTAGGTTCTGTTTGGAATGGATTACATTTGCAGAAAAAAACAAGACAGTGACAGTGGATGTAAAATATAAAAACCATCTATTGTAAAAAAAAATTCCCCCTTAATAAAAATAATAATAATAATAATAGCACAGTGGATAAGACACAGATTTTTTTGTGTGTTTATTGCGGTTCTACATGTTCAGAATGTGTAAAACCAATGTTTAAATCAAATTCAATCAAGTTTATGTTAGATTAAATCTGACCGCGTGGAACCAATGAATGTAATAAACCTCTTTATTAGAATGTTTATATAACAAAATTTTAAACTTTCTATACCTTTTTGTGGCAAACCTCACAAAATGCCCCCATTTTTCTCCTGTTTCAAACCTGTTTGAGTATTTTGTGGGGCTCAAAAGAAGATATTTTTATGTTGTATTCATTGTTTAAGATGTTCAAAGTTTTTGATGAAAGTCCACAAGCAATCAAACGTTTACAATCACTTTGTCATCCCTAAAATGTTATTATTCAAACACCCTTAGGCCTTAATAGCTATAGCCTTAAAGATCAGAGTTAAAGTTAACGTTTAAGCTGTTACAACTCAATGGGGTTGGTGCTGTTCCCTGCTGTATATTCTCAGAGGAAATACGATGACAAAAAGAACTCAAAGTGATTCCGACATTGAACTTGGAATGTAGTGTTGTGCATGTATATTAAATTTGACTAATAATATTTGATTATCATTTTTCTCCACATATTTCTGTTCTTTTGCAGGTGTGCTTCCACGTCGAAATGAGCTGCTGCTGTAATCAATAAACTGAATTTCCCCCTTCTGTGTATTTGTCTCATTTAATTGAAGGTTTGTAGTTTTCAGTTTTGTATGGCTTCATTTTTGTCACGTGGTTCTGCTTGTTCAAATCCGGGTGACAACCAGGGTATACCTTGAAAGGGTACTTAGTTCATCCCAGGGCCACATTTACTCCTCTTTTTCTCCTGAGGGTATTTTAGTGTTTTCAATTCATCTGATAACATAGTTTTTGGCTGAGCAGAGTAAACCAGACCTTGAAGAAATCGTTAAAGGCATGGGGAGGTCCCCATCTCTTGCTTGTTCCATTAACCACAAATTTAAAGGTTTTATTCAAAAAAGAAATTTCACATCACAGGTAATGAATATATATGTATATATTTATTTTTTTATTTTTAGCATAGTTTTTTTAACTGTCTTAATGAATAAAAAATGCAATGTGTGCATTTTCATTACTAAAAATGTAATAGCCATTAATTTAGTGAACAATTTAGAAGCACTTTTCCTGATATTTACTGTTAATTAATTTAATGCTATTTTATGACTGGAAGTCTGGCCCTGCATTCAAAATAGTAAGCAAGTACTCTAATACTCCAAATAATCTCTGTAAAATTAAACAGCACACCAAATCTGTATCTGTAAATACAATATGTATTTACAACTGGTAGAGAAGTCTGACATCTCTTAGGGAAAGATCTGAAGCCAGGAATTCAGGAACCCTCAACCCTCTTCAGATACCAGAAAGGAGATTAGTAGTAAACCACAGGAGTAGATGGCGAAATGACAAACCAGAAAAGACACAGCAAACCACAGGAGAATCCAGAGGGCGAGAAGCAATCATGGAGAGTCGGGGTGAACTTTAGATCTGAAAATATAGGAGGTGTGTTGATGTTCATATTTAATAGAGGGAGATGGTTTGGTTGAGTTGATTGGTTGGTTGCTTGCTTGGGGTGATTTCTACTGCTCTCTGGGTCCCTTCTCCACGACACTATCAGCTTGTTTAGTGATATTTAACCATTGAATCTTTTTAATATCTTGATTTTGCTCCTTCACAAACTTCTGTGACACGTCCTCTTACGTCACACTCAATGTGGCAATTTTTGAGATGTTATTTCCTCTTGGGAAATTGGTCATAAATCATAACCTGAAAATTTAAACCACCAGGACCTCTTATCATGGGCACTCATCTACAAACACTTTTCTCCACGCATCCTACTTAATAAACACATGTAAACAGAAAACTGATGGCTCAGTTGGTAGAGCATTGTGCTACCAACGCAAAGGTAATGGGTTCAAACCCCAGGGAAAGCAAGAACTGACATAAAAATGTGTTCGTTTTTACAAATGTAAGTCGCTTTGGATAAAAGCGTCTGCCAAATCAATAAATGTAAAATTAAAATCATCTTGTTAATCTGTTGTTTAGTGAGGGTGGTGTGTTGCTTATGATGAATTTCTACAACACCCGAAGGCTATTCAAACCAAGATTAAATCTTGAAAACACACCTCCTCTTACTATTGTGGGCTTCTTTCTATGTTAAATGAAATAACTTCAAAATCCAATGATGTTTCATATTGGACCAAGTAAGCAGCTGATAACCAATGGCAAAGGTTCCAGCTTTTACTCAACAAATATTTAATAATCAAGTCAAGAGGTCTCATTCATAGTGCAAACTCTGTTTAAAATTTAGAAATGGTATTGGTTATGCCTATTAATTAGTAAATATTGGTATGACTTTTGCAATCAAAGTTTTAATTCTCTTCTTTCACAAAGTAGATCAAAGCAAACCGTTCACTCATTGGAGGGCTAGCTGTCTATAATATGGTTACACCTCTTTTTTGGAATAAATTATTAAAATGAAATGAATATACAAAAAATCTTTTTGATTTTTTCAACTGTATAGCTAATCACAGTTTTTAAAATGATTATAATGAACATGGACTTGAGTAAATCATACAGGATGTGGTGGTGGCCTCAGACTGACGGATACAAGAGACACACGCACACCCTCGCACGCACTTATGTACGTGTATTACTCAAAAATAAAATAACACATCCTAAATCTGAATGAAATATTATTAAACACTTGTTATTTACATTGTTTAATGTGCTGACAACACACACAAATCACACAAACATCACTGGAAATCACATTTATTAACCTATGGAGGTCTGGATTTCGAGTCACACTCAAAATCTGAGTGAAAAAACATGACCGGCTGATCCTACTTTGGTTTAATGTCCTCAAAACAAATCTAAATTAGATACCAGTTTGGTATATCTCATTATACTCCTGGACAGTTTGTGATGCTGGAGGTGGATGGAGTGAGACATGAAACCCCAGGTGAGCTTGACTGGATTCACGTCTGGGGAACGGGCGGCCAGTACAAAGCAAGAATGTGTTTGTCTTGAAGGAGCTGCTGACACCCTCCAGTCATGTGCAAAGAAGTACCACCCTACACCATTACACAGTAAAATCCTAAGAGTTAAATTAACTCTACTCAGAGTGTATTTGGTCCCACTCTATATAGAGTTAAACCAACTCTGAAGGAGAGTTATTTAAATAAGTCTATTTGAACTAAACAGTCTATTTTTGTCTGTTTTTACTCTTTCTGGAGTGGACTTGGTCCCTCTCTGAATAGTTAATATTTAGTTTGCATTTTCCATGCAGATTTGGAAAAACATGAAGAAAACAGATTATTAAATTACTCTTTCTCAGAGTCAGTTTAACTCTATATAGAGTGGGACCAAATATACTCCGGGTAGAGTTAATTTAACTCTTAGGATTTTACTGTGTACTGACCCACTGCCAATGATAGAGAATGTAGCAGGCAGCAGAACGTTCACCACGATGTCTCCAGTCTGATCTGTTACATGTGTGGACCTGCTTCATCTCTGAGGAACCAGTGGTGAATTTGACAATATTGGTGTTCTCTGGTTCGCTGGCCCCCGTGCCACCCCCTTGGAGTCTGTTTCTGGTCATTTGAGCAGCTCTGGCAGTGCTCCTCATGTTCCTCCTTGCACAAAGGCAGAGGAAGCGTTCGTGTACTTTTACGGACATCTCCATGTCTCCTGGTAGTGTGTCCATGCTCTGGAAACTACGCAGACACAGATCAAACCTTTCATTGATGTGCATCTTGGAGGATCTGCACTACCTGAGCCCCTCATCCCACCACTAGAAGAAAAGCCCCACCAGCTTTAAAAACATAACCAAAACATCAGCCAAAAAGCATAAGATCTAAGAAGTCTTGAGGAACCACTCCTCTAATGGGGTGTCTCGCTAACGGTCAATAATTAACGGTTAAAAATTTATTGACAACCGCTGTTTTTTTTTTTATCAGTGTATTTTCCATAAATCATATACATTTTATTTCACTTCTCAGATATCACTGTGATATAAATAGATCTATGACATACTGACATATGACATATTTATAAGGACTATCTGGAAAATGTACAGGGGTTTCCGAACTTCTACATACCACTGTATATACACACTAGCAAATTATTCTTTTTCAGGATTTCAGGACTTTATATTAAACATTGCAAAAAATCTAGAAATTTAGATTGTTTCTTGTCAAGAGAAGTTTTACCAGGGTTTTTTTTTGGTTCTAAATGGAACTTCTTGTCTTTGGTATAAAACCAAAGATAATATGTCTGCAATATAAAGAGAAATAATGTGTTTTTACCCATCACAAAATATTTATGATTCTTTCACTTGAATGCGTTCTTCTCCTCCGAATGGCTGGAAATGTGGAGCCCGTCTCAGTCCTGGGCTCCACCACAAGCATAAGGGGCACATAGGGGGCACACGTAATATGAATCTGGACTTGAGAGCAATTATACACACTTTGGGACGCGGCAATAGTTCTCATAGGTGCATTTGTGTCACGTAGCCTCCCTAGAAAACCCTAGATATGGTCAAGTTATACTGCTGTTCAAAAAGTAATATATTTTATATCCTGTATTAAAGTGAATCTAGATCCTGGAAACTACTCACAAAGTTCTGTTGATGAAAATCACTCTGGCAACCTCAGTGCTAATCAAAATAATATAGTTAAAAGATTTAATTTCTAATGCATTTTGTTTCTTTTTTTCAAGCAATGGAAGCGGGACTCCCCCTGCTGTTTCAATCCCAGCAGATTAATCCTTAACTCCTCACTACTCCACCAGCAGAAGCAGACATGCATCATTCTATTCTATTCTGTCTTAGAGAAGTAGAGCTCAGCTACTGACGAAATGATGCATCCAGACCTTTACTGATTTTTTATATCAGAACCGGCTCTTAATACAATATATAAAACATGTCTTAGAACTGTTTCAGTGGTGCCTTAACTTTCATGTAAAAACTTGTAGTGTGGTGCAGTCCGTCTATAAAAACGGTTCAACATTTGCCACATTTGTTAAGATGCATGTTTTGGCTCAATCAGTTTTGTGTTGATATGATATTTGGGGAGCTATAGCACCCCTAAAACTACCACTAAAACCTCATAAATCTAGAACTATGTCATTAACATTTATACATTTGGCAGATGCTTTTATCCAAAGCAACTTACATTTGAATGAACATATTTTCTATGTCAGTTCTTGCTTTCCCTGGGATTTGAACCCACAACCTTTGTGTTGTTAGCACAATGCTCTACCAACTGAGCCACAGGAAAGCACTAACTGTAGAGTTAGTTTGGAGTTAGTGGCTTATAAAACAATTACAGTGTTCTGATATAGTTACCTTAGATTTCGCATCCTGCATTTGGACTGTTGTGAGGAAACTCAAATAACAAGATGCCTTTTAATTATAAAAAAATATTCCTAAGGTCACTATGAGTAACAAAAACCAACCCCCATGTCTCTATGTTTTTCGGTAGCTGAGCTATGTATATGCAAAATTGGTTGATATGGTAAACAGTCTGGTTACTATGGAGGGGTCAGTTACATAATCTAATATTTCTCATGTCATTATGAGTGTCATTCACCCACCAATACCTAAGACGATTTTCCTAATCTGGTTGCTATGGTAAACGGTTGCTATGGAGGAGTAAGTCACATGATATATGACATATAATGTAGCTTTTGTCACTATAAAACAACCGCATGCTTCTATAATTTACCAAAACTAAGATAGAGTCCAGGTTGTTAGGGTAAGCAGTTAGGTTGCTAGGGAGTGGTCATAAAAACATTTGTTGTTACTATGCCTAACATAGACAAACCTCCATTTCTCCAATACATTTCATCTTGAAGATATTTTTCAATGAGTTTAAATGGCCTTCATAACCCTAACCCCTTCTAGAGTGTTCAAATACTTTTGCACAGTGGTCGGTAACCTCTATCTTTTAGATAACCTCTAGGTTTTCAGTTCGGACTACAGTTTTACAAGCCAACATAATAGGAATGAAGCATTAAAGAGTGGCCTGTAGACACTTTGAAGGAGTTATGCCAGTGTAAATGACAGATATAAAGCAACATTGTGAGGATGAGTGAACTCGACATTTCTGCGACGCTTAACCCACCTTTTGATTACACATGAAATGGCTGAAAACAGATCAGACAATGTTTCTCATCACCATGGATCCCAAACAAAACCAGATCCTCTTTAAAGAATCAGACATTGGGAGCATGTCAACCTGCACAACAAACATAATAAACTCTAGCTCACCTTCTTCACAGCAGCTCTTCTAAACTCACACAAAGCTAGATGTTGGAGCAAACAGAGACTCTTGTGCTGTTGATCTGTGGGTTTGTAGCTCGAAGTGCAGGCATTGTGAGAGGGATTGCATTCGTTCTTGGATTGTCCTTTAGAAGAAAGCCTCCGGCACACACAGTAGAGGTGACATATGAAGATTGTCACTTCACTGCTTTAAACAAGAACTTTCTCCCAGAAGGTTAAGTCCTCATTCCCACCAGGAACATGAAACCAGGCTAGAACCAGAGGCATCATAACATTCTCAGAGTAAATGAAAGCATGGAGGTGTGTCCAGATACTATGTCTTTCATAAAACTCTGAAACTGCAGTCAAATATTTTGTAAAATATTTGTAATTTAAACTCTCTGATAAAGTCAGTCACATTTAATAAATAAAATACTTTGTGATGTTTCCTGTAGTTTGCTCTCCACATCTTTAAAGTTTGGAAACTTGAACCTTCAGCTCCCTCCACAGATTTTGTTTCTTGGATTAAGTTTGCAGAGGGCATTTAGAACTTATATGTGCTGCTTATTCAGTCACACTTTTATTGCCTTGGTTGTGTGTTTTGTGTCATTGTCATGCTGAATGGCATGACAATGAAAAAAAGGTTATGGTAAAGTTGTCCTGTCC